CTCAAGGCGGAGTTCGCAAGTCAAGGTAAATTTTTGGGGCCGGAGCTGGTCGTATCTCGAAAAATTCATAAGGAGGGGCGTTCGTAACTCGAGGTACCACTGTATTTGGAGCCATGCGTATCTTTTCTTGTTCTACTATCCTGTGTCCTCTACCTCCTGTGGAACAATGTTTCCTGACCGGACAACTTCCAAATACATGGACTTCAGTTCCCAGAATTACCCAACCAGCACATCCATTGCTGAGAATCCTGGGAGTTGAAGTCCACAAATCTGGAAGTTGCCCAGCTTGGAAAATACTGTTATAGAATCAAGGAGGAGAGATTGAATATTGCTGTATTTTCCCCCAGTCCAACTAGTGTGTCAGGATTTCATTAATGGATTAATTTCAAATGCATTCTGGATCTGGCTTGCTAAAATGCTTTTTCTTTTTGTGTATTTCAGGCTTCAATGTGGAAACACTCCCTGCATATGCTAAACGTTCCCAGCGGATGGTGATCACTGCACGTATGTGAGAAGTTGTCTAGTATGCTGTTATTTCTTTGTGTATTTCTGAAGAAGTATAGTATATTAGTTAAAAAGTATGCTTAGGTGATTTAAGATTGTGCTGGGTTAATATCTCTTTAATATGGTATTGTATTATTGGGGTAAGAATAATTTCTACAGCAGGCATATACTTTGAAGAAACATTTCATTATTTACCTTTTTTCTGTTTGGAAGTCTTCTTTCCATGGAATCATCCTTATTAGCTATTTACTCAGAATGAAAGGTTAGCTAACCTGCCTTATGTCTGTGGTACATTATATGGCTTTTCAAGCTGTTGCGTTAACAATATTTTATTAAGATTTTTTGTGGTGTTCTTCAGCAGTACCTATCTACAGTTTTAAGCAGATTTATTGGCAGTCAAACTTCTGTTGAAACCAGTGGTTGAAGGGTATTCTGCCAGACCTTTAAGAATCTGTCACTGAAATCAGTGTGTCCATGTCTGGGAACTATTTTTGCTGGTTCAGAGCTGGTAACAGAGGAGGGATCCAAAACTGGGCTGCAACAGAACAGAAGGGATTTGGTTTTCTGGGATTTAAACTGATCCAATTTCTAGAATATCCCACGTTAGGAGCCATTACCAGGAAAAACCATTGAAGTAGAAGGTATATTTCCATGGACCTCTCTGAAGCTTTTGTGGTGGGTGTGCGTCATCCACTGGCAGAGCTTTTCTCCTCTGCTTAGGAGGCAGCTGTGCCCCATGCTGATCATCTGCCATGGTCATTTGAGGAACTTAGGATGGCGCCATTGATCCCTGAATCCATGTACAGGTTGTATACGGTTCATATTGGCCATTTCCTTGTTCCTTGTTATTGAACTTGAGAAGACAGAAAAAAGTACATGATGGCACTGGATTGGTGATCTGATGTATATGGAAAAGAGGAAGACAGTTTAGCGTAGAATTTTCTGTGGTTTTGAAGGATTCAGATTAGTTAGCATGTGATATTTCAGGATTGGTCTGTGTTAAATCTTTTGATTTTTTTTTTCATATTCTGCTGCCTGAAGGGTGCTCTGTTTTATTCCATTTGTCTAAACAAGTTTGTTGAATTAGTTTGCAGAGCCAATGCATTATCTCTCTTTTCAGCTTGACTTAGAAGCTTTGTGATAGAAGTTGTCATTACCGAATTTCCATTTTCAATTGCAGCGCCTGTAACAAATCAGCCTGTGACCCCAAAAGCCCTGACAGCTGGACAGAACAAACCTCATCCTTCTCACATCCCTAGCCATTTCCCAGAGTTTCCGGACCCTCATACTTATATCAAAACACCAGTAAGTCTTACATAAAACAGTCTTAAAGTATTGTTTAAAAATACTATAAAAGGACACAGGATTATGTGCAGTAGAAATTGCCTGGAGCGTTAAATGTATGGTTGTATATTTCAGCCTCCTAGAATAACGGCAGCATTTTCCTTCTACTATTGTTTCTTTTTTGCTATTTTTGGAAAAAGTACTATGAATAAAAAGCTTTGATTCTCCAGTAGATGTTCATGAGCGGCTGGCTGTTTTGCCCTCAGTGAGTGTGAGGAATGCAAGTGAGAAATTAATGCACAGACATTATTTCTGCTTTCCCTTCCTTTGCCTACAGACCTATCGGGAACCTGTATTGGATTATCAGATCTTACGAGAAAAAGCTGCTTCACAGAGACGAGATGTTGAAAGAGCTTTGACCCGCTTCATGGCAAAAACTGGAGAGACACAGAGCCTTTTCAAAGATGATGTCAGCACTTTTCCTTGTAAGAAGTGTCTAAGCGGCAATTGCGGGGAGAATACGTTGTTTCAATAGGATGCTTAGTGCTTAGAATCAAGGGCAGGTAACTTTTTTGCAGCTGAGAGCCATCTGTAGACGTTGTTGAGATGATGATGCTAGTGGAGGTAGTGGGGGCTAACATTTTCAGAAGGTTTTCTTTTGTGCATGTTTTTGAGGCATATGTGTTATTTTTTAAAAATGTAAAATAGGTCTTTTAAGCCTAGTGGAGCAAATTTGGTCTAGAGCAGTGTTTTTCAATCTTGGCAACTTTAAGATGTGTGGACTTTAGCTCCCAGAATTCCCCAGCCAACAAGGGAATTCTGGGAGCTGAAGTCCACACATCTTAAAATGACTGAGGTTGAGAAACACTGGTCTAGAGGTTAAGGTGCTGGACCAGGAGGGGGAAACCTGAGTTCCAGTCCTGCCCTTGGCATGGAAGCCAGCTGGCTGATTTGGGGCCAGTCACTTAAAACAACTCTGATCTGAGATTGATCAAACCCAGTAGCCTATCAAACGAAAGCTGTGGAAGATGCTCTAAAAGCAATATAGGAACAGGAATACAATAATATTAATAAGAATTTATCCTGCAATAAACTGCCCTGTCTATATTTAGCAGCCTTTGTAGATGAATCAGGATTTGAACTTGGGTTGTCTTGATTATTCCACTGATACCAAAGAAAAACATTTGCAAATCGTTTTGGATATAGTAATAAACGTAATATTTTTAGTACTTTTATCATAACTTTAGTTTAATTTGCCAAGTCATTCTGTTTTCTGGGCTTTAATTTCCAAAAAAACAAAACAAAACACAACTCTCAGCTTTATAAGATAGTATTAGAACTATCTTGGTAGGAAATATAAAATTCACATGGAGGCATTTTTGACACATTGCAAGAAAGAACATGAAATAACTTTTGAATATTGAGTACACCTCCACATATGAAAATGACACTAATCCTATTTAGATTTCAGGTCACAGATATGAGAATAGTTTAGGCCAGGACTTGGAATTTTTTGGACTTAAGCCCTGTCTTCAGCAGCCAGCAGAGCCAATTGTAAGGAATTATGGCAGTTGTAATTTAAATCTGGCAGGGGATAATCATGGTGCCTATTCCTTGGTTTAGTCACAAATGAAAGTAATGTTTTCCTCTTCTGTAAAACAGCTTGGGATGTTGACTAAAAGTATTAAGTGTTAGCTAATAATATTTTAAGAGTAATGTCATTTAATTTAATTCATTTAATTTATTCAGTTAGGCAGCGCCTGACTCCAAACAACTTTGGGCAGCTCATCTCATGTCCTTGGCCATTTATAACTTCTGGATAGAGATCAGAATGGTTTCTCTCTAAATCATGGTTTTAGGTTTACTTTTTTTTTTGGTTCTCTCCTGCCATTTTCTCAGGCTCTACTCTTACTCACTTATCTCTGAATACTGCTGCTATGCATGTATACATTTCCTAAAAATAACTGCACCTCTGGGGTCCTGGCACTTGTTTCTGAATAACTTCCTTTGAAAGATTAGCACGTAGCTCAACGTAGCTTAGTTGCCACTATGCCACTTCCTGCTTGCTAGAGAGGGATATCTTTAAATTGAAGCTGCTGACTGATTAAACATCTATTACTAAAAAAATTGCAGTATATTTCTTCACAAATCCTGAAGGTTGTATGGTAGTAAATAATCTAGAATAATCTGCTACTTTCTTTGTAAAGTCAACTTTCCTCCAATGTTTCTTATATTTTAGGCTGATTATCTGAAAGGAGAATCTGGCATTTCTTTTTTTTGTTGTTGTTTCTTTGGTCTCTAAAATCATGACTTTTTCCTTCTTTATCTTCAGTGATAGCTGCCAGGCCATTTGCAATACCCTACCTGACAGCTCTGCTTCCTTCTGAGTTGGAGATGCAACAGATGGAAGAGACTGATTCGTCTGAACAAGATGACCAGACAGACACAGAGAACCTCACTCTACACATGAGCATGGTAGAACTCAAGATATTTTGCTTAATTCAGTGTAGTATAAGCTCTAGATTTCTGGAAATTCTGTACTGAACATCCACCCTATGTGTAAATGAAATCTTGCAGCTGGAAAATGTGGGAAAAGTCCAAAGTAGCCACATAATTCTAGGTGCAGAATATGCTTAAAAGTTAGAAGAATTTTGGAGCAAGCCTGCCATGTGGCAATGCGCTTTTCCTCTGTGTAATGTGTCCTTCCCCACTTTTGGGCAGCTTTTGCACCTACAGAAGAGTGAACCTATATAAGGGAGGAGAAATGTGGAAGAGAGAAGAACCATGCCCTTGGTTTTGATTGGAACAGGCTAATGTTGCTGTAGTCTGATCCAGGCTTATACTGATGATAGAGGAGAGCTATGCTGCCATCTTCATTTGGCAGGAACCTGGGGCAGGTGGGTTAACAGATGGATTAGATTTAAAGTTTTCCAGAAAAGGACTTGTGGACATTTAAACATATAACATTGCAAGATAAGGATCACTGGTTCAGTTGCTTGAGCAAAGAGGATGTGTATTCTCCATCTCCCTCAGCAGTTGGGTGAGCGCTCCTTGACCATGGCAACATCGTCCACTAGCTGAAGCTATCTGGTTAAATGTTAAAGTGGCAAAAATATCCATTGTTTAAAAAAATGGTGCCAGATCACCAGGAATCAGGGAAACAGGGACTACGCATATCCTCCAAGATACATGAAAAAGAACACAGTGGATTATTTTACATGAGTTACCTCATTTTTCCCTCTTCCTCAACAGCAGCTTTTAATCCTGAAAATTGAACCTCATCAGAGCTCACTCTTGTACTATTTTAATTCCAGAATGTTTTTTCCATTGCTCAGCAGAGGGCACTCTGCTCTCTGGGATGTACCAGGGTTATGTGCCTGTTGCATGGGCTCCTGCATGTCTATTTCTCTTCTGACTTGTTTTTTCTTGCGGATGTTGATTTTTCGGCTTTGAATCTGATATTGTTCATATTGTGTCTTACCTGCCAGGATGATTCAGGAGCTGAGAAGGAGAATGCATCAGTACTTCAGCACAATACCTCCCTTTCTGGCAGCCGAAATGGAGAGGAGAACTTGATAGACAATCCATACCTCCGCCCAGTGAAGAAGCCCAAGATTCGTAGGAAGAAGTGAAGTGAAACAAATTGATGGAGTGGAGTAAGAAGAAACAGTTTATCTTAATCCTGTGGAGTTAAGATAAGGCGCTGGAAAGGCAGAGCAGCACTGCTGGTTAAGAGCCAAGCGGAAATATTGGACTCCTCAGTTGCTGTTTTCTTCATCTCCAGCAATTTGTGATAATCTACGGTGAAATCTGAAAGAGTGTCTTAGAAGCACTGATGGCCACATGGATTGAAATTTGTCCCTGCACGAGAATAGTATGCTGCTAGTTCTACTATCTGCAACAGCTGTTCATCCTCAGGAGAATCTTCTTTCCAAGAATTGCAAATGGTTCAGTGGGCACTGCAGAAGTTTTTCCTCTCATTTTGCCAAGTGTAGAACCACGTGTAGGACTTCAGAACTGGAATCCCTTCATGTTTTTCAGCTGTTTCCAAGATTCAAGCCATCCCACATTGTTGAATATAATTTACTAGGATGAGAGGTGGGCACTGGTGCCACTGGATATCCGCTGTTGTGCCTTTACAAAACTGAGGCTGTTCAGAACTACTCAGATGACTATTTTCCAGGATCTGCATATACCTGACACTGAAGGTTTGGGCTGATCCCTTCTGTAGCGTGAGCTATTAGGAAAGAAGGGAAAGTCTTGTCCAAGTGTAAACACAAAGTTGTTTGCACATTTATCAATGGCAGAGTTTAAGAATAATTTCTGCAAGTGCGTTTATAGTTCAGCAGATTGACTGTGACTCTTCTGTGTGGCTTCATCTGGCTCAGAGTATTTTGTTTTAATTCTGCATTTTTGTACCTTACAGTCTTCAGTTTGTATTTTCGGTAATTTGTCAGAAGAATTATTTTATATCCATCTCTTATTTCCAGTACTTCTCTATAAAGCAAGGTGCACATAAAAAATGAAGTTTCAGGAATCCCATTTGCTATCTCATTTCTTAAGTCATAAATATCTTTTTTAAAAAAATATCTTTCAGAAAATGCAAATGTTTTTCTAGTAAGAGGCAAAAGAACAAGAGCTACAGAAGATACCTTTTCCTTTCATTCTAAAATGGCAGCAGCTGCAGTTTCATTTAAATGTTGATCTTTCAGCAACTGGTGCTTGAAGTCCGTGAGATTTGTGGTTTCAGCATCAGGATTTTCTGCTACTTCCCTGAAATGTAAGATGTATACTTAATTACGGTAAATACCACAACTTCTGTCATTACACTGCAATGTCTTTCAAAGCATGTTTTGCCTCTGAAATGAAGGGACCATTCCTTATTCAGTTCTCTCTTAGTGCTATGATTTTTCAGCATTGTGGTTGGCGGTGGGGCCACTGATTAAAATCTCAGTAAAGAAATTTAGATTCTACTGGCCACGTGTGTCTTTGTATCTGCTCTCAAAAATAAAATAATCTTCTCTTATACATTTAAACTATTAAGGATCTCTCTGAAAGATTTTCACAGGAAAAATCAAATGCTGGAGAAACAGTTGACATTCTGAGCCAACAGAGGCTGCTACACTCAGTTTACTCTTTTTTATTTGCTCAGAGAAAGTTGTTAAGACACAAGGTATATATTATATGCATATTAAGTTCTTGACTGAGTAGGGAAAGAATAAAATTCTATCTTTTGTTTTTTTCTAGTTTCTGATTGAACATAAGAATAAAGAATAAAATTTCTGATCAATTGAATCTGAAACGGAAACAAGAATAACACAATTGACTAAAGTAACCCAACTCTGTTCATGCCTTTATCTTCCAAACTATTCTACCCCCCCGCCTCCCAATATGGCAAATTGTGGTGAGCAAAAATATTCAGATCACGATCTGAGACGCTGTTTTGGAGGCAAAGCTGATTTGCACTGTCTATTGTTTGGAAGATTATCCTAGATGGTTTGTTCTAGTCTGTCTGTAGTGATTATTAGCCCTTCTTTGTTTGGATTGTCTTCTAACTGAAAACTCAGGTTAATTCTAATCTTCTTTAACCGGTAGGAAAGACTTGTTAATTTCCAAATATAATGCTGAATTGCAGATTGTCTAATGTAAGGCAAATTGCAGTGAATCATTTGGGAGATATTCTGAACCTGATTCATGACTATTACACTTTGTCTGCAGTATATTCCTAAACTGCAAGTGTGAATTGCAACAGTCATTCTCTATAAATCTCTGTGTAACAAAGTATCTGTAGCCCCCAGTTCATAATTTCCTCTTAGTCAAAACAAAACAAAAATGGTTTATTTTGATCATTTTCCTCATTCTGTTTTCCCAGAGTCTAAATTACATTCAGAGATTTTGCCTAATCCATCATTCTGCATCTGATGTTTGCATCATTAGTAAATCAGCTGGAGCCCCAATGCTTCGCTTTGCCATTAAAAAGAAGAACCCCTTGCAGATAGAAATCTTCCATAGAGGGAGACCTTGTCATAAATCATTTTCTTTGGCCCAAAGGTATTAAACATTCCATGGTTAATCATGCAGTTATTGTATAGTCATATATAAATATAGATAACTATTTTTACATTTATATATATTTTTGGTCTTGGGTTAAGCATTTTGGTGATTTTAAAGATTAACAAATGCAGAAAAATAATAGCAAAAACAGTTCCCCCCCCCCAATTTATAATAAAATGGTACTTGAACAAGCCAATTTCACATATTCTATTTCATTTTAAAGTAGTTGTTTGTTGGAATTGATAATCCATTCTCCTCAGTTTTGAATTTCTTTTACTGTAAATGAGTTCTATGGAAGTTGGCTCCAGGTCCTCTGTTTCACAGATTTTAATGTTTTTTTTTTCCTACAAAGGAGGATTGTTGTTTCCAGTTGAACATGTTAAACCTGTAATTATAACTCGATAGTTCAGTGTTTCTCAACCTTGACAACCTTTAAGATGTGTGAACAACTTCCAGAATTCCCCAGCCAGCCAGGATTAAAGTGCTGTTAGTGACTTTAATGCACGCAGATTATCTGGATGAAAATTGCTACTGATTTAACTCCAACTAAGTGTATGCAATATTGTACAAAATATTACACAACTTTCATTGAAAAAAATGCTTTAGGCAGCTCATAAGAATAGGATGAGTTAAAAGGACTTTTTTCTCCAAAAAAATCACAAATGAATTATTGAAATACATAATCCAAAGTGAAATGCCCAAGAGTTTATCAAATTGTTCAGTGCTTTTTATTATGCATTAAACAAGCTATATAAACAAACATAAAAATAAGAATGAATAAATAGTAAAATACAAATGAATAAATGAGGTACTTAAAAATGCCATGGAGGCTATAGTTTTCCAGTATAAATTAATTATAAATAATATATTAAAACATTTATAAAACAGACCAAAAAATCACAATTAAATTCTACAGTAAGAATGAATATCAGCAGCCATGGTCAATACAACATATATCACCAAGTAAGGCTGTAAATAAATTCTATCCATATTACTAAAAACTGTTCTGTTTTAGATATCCTGTAAAATCAAAATACAGACTCCACACATAGATAAACCAAAATTTGGATGTAGGAAGACAGTTTTGTTCACTTGTCTTTATCAAACCAGAAAAATGGCATGTATCTTCTAGAAGGAAGTTCTAAGGTGCTGTGTTGTCAATAATATAACCATCCCATTCAGGCACCTGGACATTTTCAAGGGAGAATGGGGTTCAGAATATTTACTTTTTATGCTGCAATATTATAATGTGGATCATTTTGTTTTGTTATGCGTCCCACTCTTTGGAACAGGACAAACTCAATATTTTCAGTTTACAGAAGATTACATTTTCAATACTGAGAATGACTCCAAGGTCTGTCAGTGGATACCAAATGCGTACCTTGACAATCTAACCTGTGAACTGTGGAGTTGCTTTGAGAATAATACAGTCTGAAATTCTTTGGACAGTTGAATATTTGGGATCTGTTCAGAGAAAAATCACTAGTGGATTCCTTCTATTAAGGCATTCTGTCAATTCTGAGGCCATGAGAGAAATGCACAAGTTAAAATAGGCAGCCTTGGAACTGGTGCTATTGGAGATGTTAGTAGAGTTGAGTTTTTGGACTTAATAATGGCAATAAAAAGCTGTAATATAAAGACAACTATGACGTTTTGTGATACTTTGCTTGAAATGAAAGCAATTAAATATACTAGTTTAGCTTATTGTATTAAGTTTTAAAACAGAGGGAAGAAAGGCAGATATTGCTTATTGCTTTCTGGATCAGGAGGCCCTTCAGGCAGTCACTCATGCCTCAAGCACCTCATGATTGGATTACTGTAATGTACTCTACATAGGGCTGCTCTTGAAGACTATCTGGAAGCTACCATGTCCAGATTGTGGCAGTGTGGGTAGTGATGGGAGTGCCACGTTATGTGTATGTGACTTTGAGCTGCACTGGTTATCACTTGGCTTCTGGGTGCAATTCAGGTGTGGTTATCACATTTAAAGCCCTTCATGGCATAGGGTGTGGTTATCTAGGGACCACCTAGCTCTAGGCATTTCTGCCCATCCAATATGGTCCAACAGGGTGGGTGCACTCCAGATCCCATCAATTAAAGAATGTCATCTTGTGGGACCCAGTAAATGCACCTACACTGTCGCAATTCCTGCTGTTTGGAATGATCTCCCATCAGAGACTTGTGTGGCTCCTACCCTTATGTTCAGGAAATTACTGATGATCTGGTTATTCTCCCAGGCCTTGAGAACAGCGTGACTATGGAGCCTGTTTTTGTTTTGTTATGATTTGCTTTGATTTTGCTTTGGTATTTTGCTCTTCTGCTTAACTGTATTTTATGTTGATTTTTTTAGTTGTAAGCCAGCCAGAGTTGTTCGGGAGTCAGGCGGCCTGAAAAAATAAAATAAAATATGCAGAAAAACAACAAATCACAATTTTGTACTGAGTAATTTAGTTCTGTACCAAGTCATACCAAATGTTTGCATCAGATAGTTTATGCCACTTTTATACACACACACAGACACACACACACAGACACCTTTGATTCATTTGCACAGTTCACTTTGGTCCTGTTAATTAGGCGGAGTTATGGAGGATAGTAAGATCTTGTCCTTCTGATCCAACTTACCGCATAATGCAGCTCAGCCCAATTATGCCAAGTATCAATATGTAACATGTTATTCTTCACACAGCAATGTTTTCTTAAGATTAGACCAGATATGAAATACTGGATGCATTTCTATTTCCAGAAGGCCAGTATCCAAGCCTGAGAACAATAGACTGCTTTTTGCTTGTGAAAGAAATGAAGACGAGGAAAGAAGCTATCTGCTACCTTTCACACATAATGTCAGATGTTTGAAAGGTCATCTAATGGCAGTTGTGTTGAACTTTAAGAGATTTAATCCTTTCTCCACCAAACACAGCTCTTTGAGCACCCATTGAACAAGGGTCTACACAAAATGACCTGGCTGCTATTATAAACACTGCTGGAAAACATTGTGGGCAGTAGCCACAGGGTTCAAGCCTGATCCACTAGCAGCAGAAATGAGGGTGCTCATTCTTCTCCCATGTGATTACTGGTTATTTGCTTTGCTTTTTCTTCCGGAAATAAGTCAACTATAGTTGTCTTTGGTGTTAAAAAAAGACTGGCTCTAGCTATTGACCAAAGACTATAGTTGGATTTTTCATCCCTTTCTTCTTAATAAACCCATACACTTAATCTCACAATAACCATGTAGGACAATAAACCTTTTATGGTGCTTATTCAAGAAAATGCTACTCTTGAATATGCCCCATTTTTAAAAAAAACATCAAGATAGCAACTGCAATCATGTGATTGAAGGCCTGCTTATTTTTTATGTACATCAGTGCATTGCTTCTGTGTTTGTGGGCATATAATTTAGGAGACTGCCTGCCATCTCCCAGCCTGAGTTCACAGTTAATTCTGGGGACAAACTTGGAAGTTGCATGGGATAAGGGCAAAGCCAGAAAAACAGACACAGTAGTACAATCAAACAGGTGGTGATGTGGTAGCATGACTGTTGTTCATATTTCCTACAACAGATAAAAATTGTTTGCATAAACATTTATTCATTTTCTATTGTTAGGAGCCAGATCTGTTATTGTGAAACAGCAGAAAATGAAAGCACAGTTGCCATTGGAAGAAATTTAACAATGGAAATATTTCATAAATCCTATATTGAAAAATAGGTTTAGCCCTATTTGAGCACAATTTACAGGTTAATTATTTTCCCTGAGAGATTGCCAAAATATCCTTCTGGATATTATATTAAATGTTGATGATCTGGTATCTTTCTCTGCTATCCTCATTTATATTTTGAACTCCTAAGGTAAAAGCAGTTTTTCATCTTCCTTCCTTTCTTCCCCTCTTCCTCCTCCTCCTCCCTCTTTTTGGTTTTGTTTCTAGATTTTTTGTTTTGTTTTGCTTAAGTTTATGTCTGCATATTGTATGGGAATATTGTTTCTGCTGAGATCTCCAAAATAATAACTTTAATTGATATTTTCTGTTTAGAATCACAGAATCATAACATGAGAAGAAAATCATAGGATTGGCAGGGAACTTGAAGGTCTATTAATCTAACACCCTATCTACAACAGGAATCTTCAGACCATCCTGTCGAACCTTTGTCTGAAAACTTCCAGTGATGCAGCATTCATGGTTCCAGAAGGCAGCTGCTCCATTGCTTAATAACATTCATGATCAGGAAATTCCTCCTTATTTTGAGTTTGAATCTCTCTCTGTAAAGCTTCCACCTATTGATTCTTATCCTATTCTTGGGCACTGCAGAGCATAAATCCACAATCTCTTCCCTGTAATTGCCCTTCAAGTATGTCCCCCCTTAGACTTCCCTTCTTTAGGTTCTACATGCCAAGTTCCTTTAACCATTGTTCTTCATAGGATTTAACCTTTGAGTCCCTCTCATCTTTGTTGTTCTTCTCTGTAATCTTTCCAGTTCCCCAGCATCCTTCTTGAATTATGGTGTCCAAAACTGGATACAGTATTCCAGGCAGAGGTGTAATCTGACCAGTGCAGTGTAGAGTGAAACTATCACTTCCCGTGATCTGTACATTAGATCTCAGTTGATGTAGCCCAAGATTGCATTGGCTGTTTTGGCAAGTGTAGCACACTGTTGGCTCATGTTTAATCTGTGGTCTATCAGGACTCTCAGATCCTTCTCACAAGTACTATTGTACCTGTGCATCTGGTTTTTTTCAATCTAAGTGCAAAACCTTACATTTCTCATCACATTCTCAAACAGCTTTTTGTTGGATACAGCCCAATATTCAATCCTATCAAGATCCTTTTGAACCTTGACTCTATATTCACAGGTGTTAGCAATGTTCCCCCCAGCCTTGTGTCATCTGCAAATTTGCTGAGTATCTCTTTTATGTCCTTATTTAAGTAATTTATAAAAATGTGGAAGTGCATTGGGCCCAGGACAGAAGCCTGAGGTACTCCACTGCATACATCTCTCCATGTAGATATAAATCAATTAAGGACCATGTGTTGGATATAGTTGTTTGTCCAACTATGAAACCCTCTGGCAGTAGGACCATCCATTCCATATCATTCCATTTTCTGAAGGAGGTGGCTGTGGTCAACTTTATCAAATGCCTTACCAAAGCCTAGGTTTGTGACATCCATAGCATTTCCTTGGTTTACTAATCTAATAAAAAGAGCAGTAAGATTGGGCTGACATGACCTGTTTTTAACAAACACCTGCTGGCTTCACCTCGTTTCTTTCTAAGTGCTTGCAAACCCCCTGCTTGATTATTGTTCTAGGATTTTTTCAGTTATTGATGTCAAGCTGATATGTCTGTTATTTCCTGGGTCTGTGTGACTTCCTACTTGACTTGTGTTTACTTATTCAGGACATAAAGAGCTCTTGAAAGAAGAAGAAAAAAACAATCAGGGCGTGGAGAATGACAATGTGATTTCTATAGAGGTTGGAAATAGGAGAAGTTCCTTCCTTTGCACGGGATAGGCAGAACGGGTCAGGCTGCTTTCACTGCAGAGATTTCATCAGGCTGATAGGTATGTGAAGAACCATTTAAATGGAATTTGAGTTAGGGATATATTCTGCATGTTGATTATTATGCTGAATACATAGAACAGCTGGGTTACAATGTCAACAGTGTTAAAACTTGCTAACTTGAATGGGGTGGAAGGAATAACTGAGTTAATTTTGGCCTTTTGCAATTCCCCAATTTTATATTAAAAAGAACTAGACTTCAAGAATGTGTTCTTAATTTTTAAAAAAGTCCACAAACATCCATGTATTTATTTGTTTTATTTGTATGCATCTGATTGGTTAGGTGCAGGTGTCCATATGAGGAATCAACGACTTTGGGCTGGTGAGTAAACTTGCTAATTGGTTATTCTGTGCTGCAGCCTCCACCTGCTTGTCTCCCATGTGTAAACTGGCTAGAAAGGAAGCCAATTTAAGAAATCTGTTTCTGGATTTCACCTCTTTCCTCCACTTTGGCCACAGCAATGTCCAGGTGTTCTGTCTGGACCATGGTTAACATGGTCCCTGACTGGTAATTCCCCTGCTCCTTTTCCCCTCCTTCCCATGATACCAGGAAAGCAAGTGGCATTTGCTTTCTCTTTGGTGAGCAAGTCTTTTGAGGACTGAAGAAAACAAAATGACAACAGTTTTACAGTTTTTTCTACCACTTGCAGCCATTGTAGAGTAGAGCAGCATAGGAATATCATAATAAAAATCATTTAAAAGGGGAAGTTTGGCAGAACTCTGACAAGTTTGAGTTAAAAGGTAAAGGTTAAAAGGAGGGGGGAAAAGGAGGCCAAGTTTTCACAGTCCCACCACAGATTGTGTTTTAAAAAAAGAAAAGAAACCAAAATCCCAGATCAAAGATCCAGGCTTTCACAGCAGCCACCCTAGCTACCCTGGACAAAATGGCCATTGAAGGCAGAGACCGGACCCGTGGAAGGGGCCCCACCAGAGCATATACCAGTCAGCTGGAGAAGAGGCATCTGGGTAGGGTGGAGTGAAGGGACTGCCCCGCTTATGCCTGTGTAGAAGAAAAAACACTACTTTTGACGCAGAGCCAGAAAGCTCAGGTGGAGGTCCCCTTCCCAGCAGGTTGTAGGAGGGAGGGGCTGAGGATGAAGCTATTCATTCCTGCTGCCCTCCCAAATTGGTAGAAGTGCCCATCCTTATGCTGGGCACATGGGAAGTATGGATCAGCCTTATAACAAATAAGTAAAATAGTGGTATAGAAATATGTTTTTTAAAATCCTGGACTTTAAAACTGTAGTTTTAAAGATGATGAGTAATTTATTGTTGAATTTAGTTGATCTCAGATATTTATTTTGTCATGTTTTATGGACTCATTTTATCATCTGTCTACATTTTGGGAAGTAAATAATAAATGTTGTCTATTGTAACCTCTTATCTACTCCTGATGTTGAGCATTTTTGCTTTGCAGGTTTCATTGTTCTTCTGAATCTGCAGCTTGGTAGGAATACCTTTACTTTTGTTTGTTAGCTGGGAGATGTATTCTAAAAATCTTAAGCAGCCTGTCTTAGCCTGGGTTTTAGTCATTTCTCCTTGTTTGGCTCCTAAGAGTAGATACCTGTCCAGATTCCAAGCCCCTTTCTTGTGATTCTATAGTTTTGTTTAGTTGGTTTTGTGTGTGTGTGTGTACACATACATACACACATATATACACATATACACACATACACTCTGCTAGAGAAAATGCTGGATGGGGCAAGATAGCATGATGAGAAGCAGAATTTAAAAGATTCAGTAAAAGGTAGTGTTTTTGGAAACAAAGCACACCTAGAATTAATGATCAGATGATGTTTTTGTATGTTTTCTTAAATACTGTTTCTATGTGAGAGTGAGAGAGACTGAAATTAGTTAGAATCCCTATTTAAAATATAGGCCAGATTTGGCTCCTTAGCTATGGATTTTCCAGTTAAGTCCTCAAACCAAATAATTACATTCTAATGTATGATTCTTTTGTGCTATACTCCAAAGGAATATAAAACTCAGGCAAGCCTCTAATGAGGAAGCTTACTTCTTCACAGGAACATTAAAGGAGGCATATAGAGGGCAGTCTCCTATTTTTCTGACAGAAATCCTCTGGATCCTGGACTAACTTACTGTGTTGAGACTTTGCCTTTCCCCAAACCACAATGGTTTCTACTGGCCTCCTGATTCTGACAGTGATTTCTTTCTTTCATTCTCTTCTTTGTCTCTGATAACTTCTGAAATCTCTTGATGATCTCCTCCTCTGTAGCTGTTGCATATATTCAGTTTTCCCTTGAAATCAACTTGCTGTCACAACTTTAAATTCAGCTGTGTGTTAGCTCTTACCGTGACAATTTCATTAGCCCTAGACAGCTCAGGTTTTTAGTTTCTGAGTTTTTCCCCATTGGATAAAGCTTTCAGATTTTTGATCTCCCAAGTTTGCCTTTAAAGATGTATGCAAACAACTTAACAGACAAACTCTGCTTGCAGAATCATTTCTCCCTCATATGATTAACACTTGAATAACTCTATAATGCTTTTATCAGTTGCCTTATATAAAACTTAGAGCAAACATCCTTACCTATATACAATCATTAGTCTATAAATGCTTACTGCTTAACTCAGACAAACTAATGGCTATTCTAGATGGAATAAAAACAAAACAAAAAAAATGCTGTTCTGTTTTCATATAAGTCTTTCATTTTCAGGTGATTATTGTCAGAAAAGGTAGAAGATGGAACAAGGATTTCCAAAGTTCATCTGTGGGACAGAGTCAAATATAACTGCCTCGGGTCTTTCTGGATATTTTGAGCTATGTCAACTGACAGTCCAAAGAATAATAAAATATTGGGTTATAATGAAAAGGACTGAGACAGTTGGCTCCCTGAGGTCCAGCTATAATGAACACACAGGAATATTGCAGCTTGTGGCCACTACCTTCCCCATAATGCTCATACTTTTTCCAAAATATTCCTGCTTCTTGATATTTTTCTAGCTAAAGTTGCCAAATGTCTCATTTATGAAAAAAGTCACTTATCTTGTAACATCACTGTTCCGTACAACAAGCCACTTACTTTGAAAAACTCATTACTTCAGAAACCATTTACTCTGACTCAATTTAATCTTACAAATAAGTCAGTAATGCTTTGAAAGTCAATTGTGTATATGTGCACGCTTTATATGGTTTATAGTTTACCATTTCCCACTATTCCAAATACAGCAAATTTGCCTTTCATATCATGTGGAATTGTGTTTCCATCTGGGAAGAAGGCAAATGTTATGGTAAAAATAAACTGCATGCAGATTTACCCATTCCCAGCATCACACAAAGCTTCTCTTTCCAGGTTCTGCCTACAAACTTGTCTGTTATGTCACCAACTGGGATCAGTACAGGGCAGAACCAGCCAAGTTCACCCCTGATAACATAGATCCATTCCTGTGTACCCATTTGATTTTTGCTTTTGCGGGCATGGACAACAATCAAATTACCACTATAGAATGGAATGATGAAATACTCTACAGGAAACTCAATGCCTTAAAGGACAGGCAAGTAACTTTTCAAGGAAATATATTTATGTAAAAATAATTTTGCCTTCATCAGTGATGATGATAGCATCAAAACCAGCTAAAACAGGAAGAAGTGTTTAATTCAGACCTTAAGGTTCATAGCTAAAGTTAGGTGTTGTGGACAATCTTTTAGCTATTGTTAATATTTTTGAGTGGGTCATAGGCCCAATGCCCAGGAGAGATATAAAGTAGGCAAGGCTATATCATGCATATTAATGAGATCCCTCTCCTCCTCTTCCCAGTTCTCAAATTATGTTAAGGGTATTTTAGAGCTTTCTCTACAGCTTTTGTGTGCTTCCTATCTTAGCCAGGCTCCTTAGGGACTGCAGTTAGGGGAAGGCTGATTCACAGACCAACTTTACAAACTGTATGTTTTAGTCCATCCATCTTTTCTGGATGAAGGAACATTGGAGATTACTCTGAATGGATATACTTCTTAGGGATCAAACCAATATATGCAAATAACTCATTGCTGCATAAGTCTTCTGCAGATATATCCCTAGTATATATTTCATGAGGAAGAGGGAAATGGAAGGTCTTAGGTTAGAAGCCAAGGGTTCTCTTCTCTCTCTCTCTCCCTCTCTCTTAGCATTAGGAAAATGCAAATATTAGTTACAAGTGCTTATATATTTCTTTAGCCTATTACAAACATAACTGGCCAGCCAGAGGGTTTGACTTCCTGAGTGTGAGATAGAGACACCCAAAGTTCCTTCATCCAGAAGAAAATAATAATGTAATGAATCATAGTACAGTAAATCATAATCTAATTAAAATAATGCTAGCAAAAGCCTTGAGCTTTTAGATATCTGTGAGAAATCTAAGTTATATTGGAAATATCTATGAGAAAGAGAAAGAGGAAAAGTTCTTCTCTATCTCTGCTTGGAACTGCCGGAGAAGCCAAGAACATCACAGCCTTTATGTTCTGCTCTATCATGTATGGTTCCTTTAATCTCTATTTGTGGCAATAAAACCCTGGCACAAAGTTTTCCCCAAAGGCTATTAACTTATGATACAAATATAAAAGGGGAATGGTTGATGGGAATCTTGGGATATTTTTTCAAGACACCGATTATTTAGTTGGTTGTTAATATACACAGCATGTTTATATTATTTTTCTTGCTTTCCAGAAATAACAGCTTACTCACGCTGCTGGCTGTTGGAGGGGGAACCTTTAAGAACCAGAAGTAAGACTTTTCTCCCAATCCTTTCCATTGAAAGAGGCAACGTATATGTAACTATGTGGTTTCCACTTCCAGTCTTAATCTAGTCTAAACGGAGATAGGAAGGAATGGAGATTCCACCTCTGCAGTTGAGAAGAAATTCTGCTGGCAGAAAGGTGATGGAGGCCACATTTACACCCACAGAAAGTTCTATGAGGAAGTCAAGCAAGCTATATTTACTGCTCAGTCTAAAATATCTCAATTTCCCCATTTCTCCTATAAGCCTTAGATTTTGCTCCTCAACCTGGAGCCTTCATAGCTAATTTTCCACCCCATTGCTTTCACTGGTGGAAAACCAAACCAAACCAAACCAAACCAAACCAAACCAACCAGCTGAAAATCCTGGCAGAGCCACGCTTCTGACCTTCTGCCTTGGCCAGTTTAAGCCAGCCTGGCTTTGGAAACAGCAGTGGATCCATGTGTTACTCCTCCTTTCTTGCAACAGCCCCCACCTCCACTTCAAATTGCTTTGTTGGTAATTTGTAATGTTTCATTTAAGGCATGATAGAGAAACGATCATGACAGAGAAGTCTTTGATAGAGATAGAGAAACTCTCTCTATCTCTGTTGATCTCTATCTCTGTTGATATTGATAGAGATAGAGATAGAGAAACTATCATGATAGAGAAGTTTTTCCTTACTTGCTTATAACTACAGCATAAAAACAATAACTTTTTTTTCTGCTGCCTTCATAATTTGCCTTCATGTGATCCCCAGTCCATACCTGAATCAGTCTTGTATGCTTTTACTGTACTGGGCTGTGTTTTTCCCCTTATCCCAACATGGATTTTACCAAGGTTACAATCTCATATGATTTACCATCCATTCTGTTGGTGAGTCAGTTGGGTGGCCCCTACTGAGTGGAATCAGCCTGGCACCCATTGGCCATTTTAACTGGTGCAGCACATCTCCTCCCTTCTGGCCCCTGAGCCAATCTGCTTTGGGCAGGACAAAACTCTGGATCTTTCATATCAGACTTTCCTCCTATACCTGCTACAACTTTGAGCCAATCCCTGACTCAGAGATATGCATCAGCCCTAACAGCAGCTGATCTGTGTGTCAATGGTGGTACAGGTGAAGAGGGGGAGAGAGACCTGTTTGTCTGTCTGCTGTTGCATGGCACAACTCTTCTCACCTGTCTGCTGTTATTTAGTCTGCTTTTGAACACAATGCTCTTCTAAAATAGCACTGACTCAGTGTCCCAAAGGAGCCCAAATGATATCAGCTGTTTGCTAGGCTCCCTTTAGAAGCATCAACCAACTGCTTGCATGAAACTTGGCAGTCTAGCCATCTATCAAAATTCACCTTCTTACTAAGTCTATCCTCATTCCACATTAAGGAGAGTGAATGGTAAATGTTTTTCACTAACTGATGATATTTTGTGCAAGGGGAAGGAAATAAAGTTGGGAAATCCACCAGTCTCTGTCCTTAGTATGCTCTATACACAGTAAATATGAGCAGCACCATTTTCCAGCATCATGTCTGTGGCAGATAGGAACCACTAGTAAGGGCAGCAAATTTTATGCAGGTACAGTTTTCAGCTGACTGAAGGGCTGGTGGATAATACTTTAATTCAGCCGTGAGGATGAACCCCAAGACAGAGAGAATAAGTCTTAATTCTTCATACATATATACATGCATACTCATCATGCTATTTCCTTTCTGGGCAAGCAATGTTACACAAAGCACAGAAAAGGAGGAAATAGTAGCAAGCAAAAGACAGGATATAAGATAAAACAAAAGGAAATCTAATTAAATCTAGATTACACCATCACCATTCATTATACAGTATCTCTATATATTTTTAGGTCCTTGCAAAGCATCTTTGCTGTTCCCAAACTTCTTACTTCTTTTTCAGAATTGCATCACCTGCATTCACCTATGCCTTTCAACTCACTCACTTTTCCTTCATATATTTGGTCATTCAGTTTTGTATTCAGTTCATATTCATTAATTACCCAATCATTCTTGATCCTATCTATTCTTGTTTTATCACTCATATTTTTAAAGTAACTCATTCCTACTTCATTCAATGTACTTTTATGTATCTCCTGACCTATCCTACTCTTATTTCCCTATAATCAAGTGGATAGGAACACGGTCCTGTATACAGCCATTTTTGCTTATTTCAATATACATTCGTTCATCACAACAGACTAAAAGTGCCCACTATCTTTCTATGATCATTTTCTTGTTTTACAATTTCTCCGTACGTCCCCATCTTTAGTAAACATTCTACCAAGGTACAAAAATTAATCTACTTAGTCTAGGTTTTGTTTTTACTATTTATGTATATTGATTCCATTCCCCTTGTCAAACACAATTATCTTGGACTCTCATACTATCTTGGATTCAGCACCATATTCTTCATTATATTGTGCAATTTATAACGTATTCACTGCAAACCATTTGAATTCTCAGACAACAGTAAGGCATTCCCTGCATACAAAAGTATACACACATTCACATCTCCAGTCAATGCATCTGTAACATCACCACACACATTTGTTTATGCATTAAACAAATAAAGGGACATCCAATGTCCTTGTCTTACTCCATGTTGAATGTTGAACCATTTGCTAAGCACTCCATATATCTTCATGAATGATTTACTTCCACATTTACTGTTCTTCTAGCATTCAGCAACCAACCTTTAATTCCATTTTCACTGAAACACTCCATAATTCAAGCCTATCTACTTTATCATATGCTTTCATTGAATAAATGTACAATAATGGACATCCATACACTTGTTAATGAACTGCTGAAGAGCAAAAATCTGGACCACACAATTCCTACCTGGCAGAAAACTACACTGTACTTCCCAATGTTGCTCATTGTCACCTCTTCTACTATTTCTATCAGAATTCTGTCAAACACTATCCCAAACACACTTAACAAACACATCCCCACTCCATAGTGTTCATAGTTGCTCTTCTCACATTTTTTTTGTAGGATGGAACAGTAACAGCATTCTTCCAATTATCAGGCACAGATGCAGTCTTCTCATACATGTAAAAACAAGCTGCACAGCCACTCCATAGCAAACTATATCTGTATTTTAATGTTTTCCCAACCTTATCCATGCATTATCCACAAGATTAGACCATACATCCTCCCCCTTCTCTAAACTTCCTTCCCTTATACTCCTATTCCGTTCCAAGTTACAAAGTTCCATACATCACAACTGTCAGTAGATAGGCCTATGAATATTGACCTCCATTGATCATCATGGCTCCAATCAACTGTGGCTTTCGCAGTACACTTTTTAGTAAAATAGTTTACCATCTTTAACTGTAAATTGGGACATGTAGCTTTCCCTGCTCACTGTAAAGACATAATACCAATCAGTTTTGGCACATTTTGAACAGTATGCTACAAAAACGAAGAGAAGGGTAATAAGTAAGAGCATCCCCACAGTAATTATAAACTCAATTCCCTCCTTATTTCATTTCTTTTTTCATTTTGCTGTAGGGAATATTCTGAAAATGCTTCCTAGATTTAGCTGAACTTGAAAGCAAAAGGGGCTATTCCTATTATTTATTAAGGGTGAGTAGGTGCTGGATCTTGTCAGTTTTTAGAATGGTTCATGATGTTCTGTGAAAATAAAGGAGAAGCCCATGGCAGTGAACATTAAAAATAAGGCTGTCCAAAAATAATGTATTTCTTCCAGATTTACTACCATGGTATCGTCATCAGCAAATCGCCAGACATTCATCTTATCAGTGACAACGTTTCTCCGTGAGTTTGGTTTTGATGGTCTGGATCTGGACTGGGAATATCCTGGTTCCAAAGGTAGCCCCCCAGAGGACAAACACCTCTTTACCATTCTGACTCAGGTGAGAGACTGAAAGCATACAATTTTAATTGAAATTTCAGTAAAAGAATCTTGTAGGATCCTTAAACTGTGTGTTTTGGTATCCTATAATGAACACCATTCTTAAATCAACAACAGTGAATCACTGCAATAAAATTATTTATTTTAAAATTAGAATTGAAAATCAATCTCCAATTGAGATTTGTTATTCAGAATTTTGCTTTAGAATTAAGTCCTAGAACATATACTTTATTGATAGAATATACATATAAAGAGATAGCATATTTCTGAGCATGCATAAAGTATTTATGTATTTGTAGCTAGCTCCCATTCATTTATAACAGCAAGATATAGTAAGAGCAAAGGTAGGATTAAGCAAACCCCCTGATCATTATTATTTTACAAATATTAAGCTCTTATCCCTTTCCATGACTAACAGTACAACATCGTGCATGTCTACTTAGAAATAAATTTGACTGAATTCAGGGATGCTTACTTTCCAAGTGCTATAGATTGGAGCTTAAAACTACAGTCTGAAATGCACATCATTGCTACTCTCCTGGGAACCTGCCTTAGAACCTTCTCAACCATCCTGGAATCTCTTAGGTTCCAAAAGAGATTCCAGTATGCCTCTCTGAGTCCAATATGCCACCAAAGATAGAGAGAAAGGAATATGTTGGAGGCATATTTGGATCCACATCCAAATCTCTTTGGATCAAGGAATGATCTCTTCCATTCCTTGTTTAACACACTTCTAAAAGGGCTAGGAGCTTGTATCAGTTAGTTTTCCTATGACTGATGTCAAGGGAAGGAAAAGGAAACAAAATGTATATGCAGGTGGTTGGGATGGTGGGAGTCACTCACCGTTTTGCTCTGCCTGCACTGAGAACATGTTAGTAGTTCTACCACAAAGGGTCTCCATATACTGCTCTTTGAATTACAGGTAGTCCCCAATTTAAGAATGAGCTCCATTCCCAAGGTCTGTCCTTAAGTCGAATTTGTATGTAAACCGGAACTGTATTATTGTATAATACTGTATAAGTAGTATTGTGTAATGAACT